GGGGGAAGGGGAGGGGAGGAGGATTTCCCCCATGTTGGCTTCCTCCTAAAGTGCAGGCTGGAGGCGGTGACAAAGCTGTCCCACTCCAGCATGATCTGGCCACTGGACATGGTAAAGACTAGGTGGGTTTTCAAAACACTGGCCTCCTCTGACCCTCACCTCAAGAAGGGCAGCCCAACTCCAGCACAGGTCACTCCAGAGAAAAGACACCCTGTAGTCTTGGGCATGGAGAATTGGTTCCTCCCATGACAATGGCTTCCTAAGTCCATGCCTCTGCCTCACACAGAGGGCCTAGCTGGCAAAGGTAGGCCTGTCAGGCTCTGCCTGAGGCTTCCATGGCATGATGTGAATTCCCTCAAGAGCCCAGATCTGGATTAAAGATTCCACAGATGATTAGAACTCCATGACTGTGGAGAGATGGAATATTGCAGATCTAGAACCAGAATGATCTGGCTACCTCAGGTCCTCATCACCCACCTCTGTATTGTGCTATCCATTGACTATCGAGTAGAACCTTTGGACTAGAATAACCTGGCAGATGACTAACTTCCACCAACGCCAAAGGTAAGGATATTATCAGATAGCTTCTGAAACCTACCACAGAGAGCATCCTCCTGCTCTAGCTGGCCCACCCGCGGTCCCCACCAATGTACTATACAATGTAAATATACTGAAGTTGATGTATGATTCTTTTCTGTAAATATACGTGTGACCATTTCCATAGCGGAACTGTCACTTGGAGTGACCTGAATCTGTTCTTGGAACTTAACCACTCATATTTTGCTCAGAATAAACTGTCTCTGATTCCCTTTGGAGCAAGAGTCATGTTTGGTATTGATAAGGGCCTAAACCCCCTGGAGCAGTGGGGTGAGAAGCCAGGCCAGTGTTGTGAGGCCATCCAGGTATGTTTCCTGGCCTCTCCCTAATACCTCTTCCCTCTCCTCTGGGAGCTCCATAGGTCCCACTTCCTTGCCCATAATAGCCAGGACTCTAGAGTTTCACACTGCACCTAAGCCAGGGTCTTGCTTCCCCATGAGAGTAAGTCCCCGCCCCCAAGCCCCTTTCCCCTTTCTTCTTTGAAGGTGACCTGCCTCTGGTCTTACTCTTTTAAGACTCTGCAAAAGCTACAGCCGATGTCTGAATGGTTGTCCACACGGAGACAAGGTGCCTCTCCTGGAGGAGATTCCATTCAAAATAAGGACCTGCACAGTATTCGTCCAGAATGGTAAAACTGCAGTAGTGGGGGCTTGGGGGCTTCAGATTAGAGATGGTGGGGAACAGGAAAGGCAGAGTTTGGTGAGAGACAGGCTCAAAGCCCCTGTGGAGAAAGAACAGGTCGTGTGTGTGTGTGTGTGTGTGTGTGTGTGTGTGTTCTAGTTTACCTTCAATTACCCTGACAAAACACTCTGACCAATACCAACTTGGGGGAAGAAAGGGTGTATTTGGCTCATGTCTCCCAAGTCACAGTCCATCACTGAGGGAGCCCAAGGTAGGAACTCAGGGCAGGAACCTGGAGGCAGGAGCCAGAGAACAGGCCATGGAGAAACGCTGCTTACAGGCTTACTCCCTTGGCCCCTGCTCAGCCTGCTTTCTTATGCAACACAGGCCCACTGCCCAGGGGTGGCACCACCCACAGTGGACTGGGTTCATCCACATCACT